CAATAAAACGAGGATGCGCAGTGCTGGAGCCTTTATGTAAACAGGCCGCCATGTTAGTACATTCGTGCAGTCAATGACACTGACTCTGCAAAAAATACAAATAGAACATTAAACCCAGGAATTAGAAATGTAAGATAAAGAAGACCTATAATTTCGAGTGAATGAGCATTGTAAAATATTTAACAAGATAACCCAGGATTCTGTTCAGGACAAACTGGATGGTACAGTCAGGAATAGCTACAGCTTACAGTCCATTAGATCTGAAATACTGGTTATCACAATATAAAGAGGGATTGTAATTATATTTATCACACATTTTTGTTTTCACAGTGAACTTTAGAGTTGTTACCATGGATAAAAACTTTTCGCCGCTTGATCAGCAGGTCTGGCATGTGTTTTTTTCTTTTCTTTATTTTTAAATATGTCCAACACGCAAACATGTTGTTGGCTTTTAATCATATCAGTTTTAAAAATGATTGAATTACTATTTGCTTTTTTACAGTATAGTACAGTGGTACTTGAGGTAAGAACACAAAACCTCCTTCTGTGCAGTCATTCATGACAAGCACAACACTGGCACTGACTGATTTTTGCATTGTGTTTTCAGTAATTATTCTGTATTTCTTTATTATTGATCAGAACATGTGAAAGCTGGCTGTAACTACCTGCACTTTGTGTTTGGTATTAAATAGGACAGTAAAGGTAACAGAATTGGTCAATGGACAAATGTGTCTTCAACAAGCTGGATTTTGCAGCGTTCTTATGAATTAAACCCGGAAAGCCATCAAGGTGTGTACAGACTGAAGTCTTATATTGGTGACAGGATGATCTCACATGACTTTGAGGTGAAAAAATATGGTAAGTAATAAACTATTTGCAGTGTTTGCATGGGACAAATTTCATACAAAGTCGAAATGTGATTAATAATAACTATAACTTTCGTCCTCTGTAGTTTTGCCTAAGTTTGAAGTTACTGTTACAGCACCAGAGACAGTGAGCATAGATGATGAGTTAATGGCAGTTGAGGTTTGTGGAAAGTGAGTAGCATCTTTACTTAAACGTATTAAAAGCATAAAGAAAGGATTGTTTTCTTCCATCCATCTTTGTCTTGTACATTTTTCACAGATACACGTACGGGCAGCCTGTATCTGGTAAATCATGGGTGAAAGTGTGTCGTGATATTCCACGCTACTCTCACAGGCGTGACAAACACAGTCCAATATGTGTGAATGAAACCACTGAGGTTTGTCAGTGCAGTACCAAAAGTGGCATGTGACATTTGTTTCCTACATCCAGATTAAGTCACTCTTAGGCATTGTGTGTGTGTTCATTCATTTCCATTAGATGAAAAAGACAGGCTGTGCCATCCATACCTTAGATATATCTACCTTTTTAAACTCAACATATAATGATCGACTAGAAAATTCTCTTCATGTTGAAGCAACAGTCACAGAAGAAGGAACAGGTGAGCTATTAATTACTGAAATGAGAGTTTTAAAATCTGGTTTCATTAAAAT